ATTTTCTGTTTTAATCTTTAAACTCAAAATGGGCTCCACTATAATGAGTGAAGGGTGTTTACTGAGAAAAGAGCACTTGTGTGCAAAGGAATTCCAACTATTCTTTCGCTATGACATTCTTTGGCCGGCTTTATCCTCAGACAATATCAGAGCAAAGCAAACAAAGAACGGAGAGAAATTTGAACAATGACATCCAAATACCATACAAAGAGAAAGCACACGCTTTCGTTCTTTAGACAAAATAGAGGTCAAACTGGAGGGGGGAAAAAAAGAGTGTTTGTCTGAGTATGTGTACACATAGGGGTTGGTGATGTAGAAATTCGGGACCCATGACCCAAAGGAGCCTATTTGTCTAGATCTGCTATCGATCCCAAACCAAGAAGGTTTTAGTCTCAGAGGGTGAGTATCTGCCTGCGAGTTGCTTGCATGAGCTCCAGGGGTTTACAGCACTTAAATGGTGAACTGAAGTGTAGCGAGAGGAAAAAGTAAACAGACCCAAGGTCAAGAACACAGAGAGATTGTAAGAGAACCAGAAAGAGATGAACAGAGCAGTGAAACCGAGGGGTCACATCCATATATTCAGAGTTTTGTGGCTGTGGTCAAGACAACACAAATGCAGACCACAAAACTGAAGAAAATGCAATTTTTTAAAAACACAAGAAGAATGAATATTGGACTTTATTAGTGTCCTCAATAGTTTACAGCTGAGTGAACTGCAAAAGTGAATAGAGAGTATGAAAGAGTAGTCACACTAAACCCCATTGTCTCCTGCTTTACTGTTCCACTTCCTCTGACAGGCGCTTCAAAGGACAGCATTTCCTGTTTAATTGGCCCCACAGTTCCACGGGACTCTCTAAAGCAGGGGTCACCAAACTTTTTTCTCTGGGGGCCACATTATCGTTCCTGACTGTGATGGGGGGCCGGGGCTATATAAAATAGAATTGTGTGACCAAGACCAAACTGACCACCAGCAGGCCTCATAGTAGAGATTACTAGCCTGGCACAGCCATATTTGTTTATCATTAATAGTTGTTTGCAAAAGTAGTAATCGAGTCTTCACACTTTGTTTTAATTTGAAATACCACAGATTTTCCATTTATTTATTTTCGAATACAAATAACATCAAACCTGTCAAGGTAAGAAACATCTGCCTAGTTGAGGTGAGTGGCACTGGTAAGGATGAATGAAAAATTATAAATTATAGGTAGGCCTGTTACTATTTATAATAATTGTGTACAGCACTTAATAAAGGTCAAATAAATAGGCCTATAAAATAAATAAATAAACATTTAAATTATAACAACAACATGAGTAATAGAACTAGTCAGCTCTTATGCCTATCCAGGTGAGCATGCTCAATAAACAACAAAATACCAAATGCAGACATGTTATTATTTTCCAAAAAGCAATTTAAAAAAATAGGCCATGACGACTTTTGGGGATTGCCGGTTCAAGTAGTGGGGGGCAGAGGGGTTGGGGGGCCAGTCAAAGGGGTGTGGCGGGCCTGATTCGGCCCGCGGGCCTTAGTTTGGTGACCCATGCTCTAAAGCATTGCATCAGACTTTGAGACACTATTCACATATCTATAATCTCCTTTATATTAGGGATGCGGAATATACTGGTTATCAACCAATATCCAAAATGAATAACAATTTAAATAGAAAATATTTAAAGCATTTAATTGATATATTTAGCTATTTAATTGGTTTAATTTATCAGCTGATATTGCTGTATATATGAAGAGTTTGGTTGCAAAACGCGATAAACGCCATTTTTTAAAAAAAAATGAGTTACTGCAAAAATCTGACTTTTCAATACCGACCAGATACAAAACAAGGTCCCACTTTATATTAAGTGGCTTTAAGTACTATGTACTTACATTGAAAAATAAGTACAATGTACTTATTGTGCTCATGTTGCTATTGAGGTGTGATATGGGTAAGGTTAGGGGCAGGTGTGGTGGTATGGGTAGGTTTAAGGGAAGGTTTAAGTATAAGGGATGGGTCAGCTGTGTAATTACAGATGTAATTACATAAATTAGTTACAGCTGTAATTACATGCTGGTATTTTTTAAATATAAGTACAATGTAAAAACATGTATGTACACAGTAAGTCCATTGTATCAAATTATTCATTTTAATGTAAGTACATAGTACTTAAAACCACTTAATATATAGTGGGACCCAAAACAATGTTTAATTTTACGTAAAATGGGATATCCGCCGTGTTATTATGTAATGTTTTCTCCCTTTCTTTCCAAACCGCGACAAACGCCAGTCTCCCTTTTCTGCAAAATGCCACATATCCGCTAAACCAATCACAACGCACCATTCCACGCAATGTAAACAGTAACGGCAGCGCTTTAACTACACCCGGTTTCCTAGGTTTTCTCTATTTTGTCCTTTCGATCAACAAACAAACAAAAAAATGAATAATTTTGACAGCATTGGTGAACCTGCGGAGGGTAAGGCATCCTGCATGGGTAAACGTGACATCGAAATCGAATCATTTACATGAGGAAGAAGATGGACTCGGGAGGAGGAAATGCCGGCTGTTGCTTGTTCTCACATGACAGCATCAAACTTCTGTTACGCTGACACACTGACCCCAGGGATCTTTTGGAAAACTTTCAGTTGTTTTATTCAAAGTCAAAGCTGATCGCCGTCAAAAAAGTTCAGCGGCGACGTCACAAGGTTGACTACAGCGATATGCATAACGTTTGATCATGCTTAATAAATCATAATTCATGATGATGTGCTCGTCTTAGTAAATGTTTTAATTAAGGTTTTGTTCATCCATGAAGTCATGAATGAAAAACGTTGAACTGTTAAAAAAACGTTGTTAGTTCCTGATGATATTAATATGAATGAATGCATAATTCATGCATGATTCATTTATCCATGAATTCAAGATAATTCATGACATGTACCCTTAAAGTGTTACCGAATATTGTTATATTAAAGCAATGGATTCATAGTATGCACAAGAAATTCAATGTGTATAAAATTTTATTTTGATTAATTGCATTTTGGGAAAAAATAAATGATTGGATTTGTTGCATTTTGGGGGGAAAAAACGATCTGTTTTTATAATAAATCTTTGAAAATCAAAACCTGGATTTCATTTTTTATTGTTATTATAACCTACAAATGCTATGTGAAAATTTGAAACCGAAAATAGTGGTTTTCATCTTCCCATTTTCTTGCTAAAGAAAACACAGTTTTACTCAAATTCATCAAAATGGATTTATAGCGTTTTGGAACCAAACTCTTCATATGTAGACGTAATGTGGGCAACCAAACAATTATTGACCTATCAACTATTTTCCATTATGGGCCAGCTGAACACATACAAACACAAATGTTAATAGAACTATGAATACATTTATATACACATATATTTACAACCTATGCTCGCTCTCCGATGGTAATGCCTGTTTTAGCCTTTTTGGAAAACATTTGAGTATATTTCTGAGTAACAGAAGCTGATCCAAGCTTTACAAGCATTTTCAAGCTGCTGCTTCTTTTCGACAGCTCCGCAAACAGAACTGCATGATGGGAACAAAAAGGCAGCCTGCCATATATGCGGCGATGACCCTAATCATGGCGCATCTGCCATCTGCTATGATGATGTCTCTCTTCAGACAGCATGTTGCTGCTACACCAATCACGTCTCTGCTGTGATAAGACCAGAGCCAATCAATGCACATTAGATTTGATTATAGAAGCTCAAAGGCTGATAACCTTGGGAATGATTTGAGATCCTCTTCTGTGAAAAGTGAGAAAGGACTAGTGAGAGTCACATGGAAGATGGAAAAAAAATCTAGCAAACAAGAATGACAACGCCCCGGTAAAAGTGTCTGTTATGATAGTGAACATTAAAAGGAGAGATTTCATTAGACTCCGGATGAAAATGGAGGTCAGGATGGAAAGGCCAGCGCTGCATGATGAGTGAATGAATCGCGCACACACACACACACACACATTATTTTACAACTGCCATAAACTTGCAGCACAAGGACCATGTCACAGCATCAGCCAGTGTGATGAATCCTTAAAGTGCAGGAGGAAGGGAATGGCAAAGAAAGGAGGTGAGAGAGAGAGAGAGACAGGCAGAAAGACAGACAGGATGTTTGCAGCTAGTGATCATCTCAGTGTTCAATAGAACAAGGCTGTTCTCACATTCTCATGTGAATAAGTGATGAAGACGCTCATGTGCAGGTTTTCTGGATGAATTGAGATGGCAGTGAGTGCTGTTGTACAAGGAGGCTCAATGAAAACACACCTCCCATGAGAGAGAGAGAGAGAGTGAGAAAATGAAGAGATGAGAGGAGGACAGAGAGGAGTCAGCTGCACATCATGTACATGTACACCTCAAATATCTGAAAGCATTTCCAAAATGCAAGCAGAGCCACGGAACATTACGAAAAATGTCAAAAAACAAACAAACAAACAAACAAAAAAACAGAGAATCTCAATGTGTTATTCAGTGATAATTAAGAAAATGAAATGTTAATCATTGATACTGATAGCGGAACTAACGCCAACAATTTTAAATGATAATCCTGCAAATAGAAGATTAATATGTTACTCTGAAACCCATTAGCTGAATTAAAAAATAAAAAGTAAAGTGGAGTAGATGGTATATTTATACATTTTGGATGTGCTGTATGTTGAATTATGTTTTTAAAAAAGAAGTTATCTTGCAACCATTGCAGTTTCCATAGAAATGATCATACTCTAGTGTGACTGTGGCTTTAAATAAGGGACAATTGTGCCTCATTTTAATCAGAATCATATGCTGTGAGTAATATCCCTACAGCAGAAATTCAACAGAATATATTATATTCTGTTTCTGTAATTTAATAATAATAATAATAATAATAATTCACATATTTAAATATGTATTTATACAGTATTTATCACTGCTGAACAATGCATTTCCCATTGGATTATGCATTTACATTTAAAGCTTAAATACACACATAAATAAAAGCGCACCTTTCCAGTAACAGCAGACCACACTTTGAGTGTGTTGTCATCTGACCCGCTCACTATGCGATTTCCACAGAACTGGAGACAGGTGATGACATGGTCGTCATGGCCTTTCAACACCTGGAGATAGAGAGAAGGCACAGGAGAGAAAGAGAGGATTAATTACAAAATGAATAGAAACGCCAGTATTTCAGTGATGTGTGAGAATGATGTGAACCTGCTGATGTGACAATTGGCAAAGCGAAATCGTCAGGTTCATGGTCACCATGGTAACAATCGAGTCAGGTAAATAAATGCTTCTGCTGTTCTGGTGCAGCTGAAGCATGTGTACATACCACTTTTTTTCTTTTTTTTTGCACCACTGTGCCTTAGAAGATTTTTAAGTAGCTCTTCTTTAGAGCGGGTGTTTTCTAACACTTTTCCACGCATATCTGTTCCAGGATTGAGCCCCAGGGGAAAGGCGGATGGGAGTGTCTCTCAAAAGGAATTGTAAATTAAATTTAAAGCAGTACAAATCTGTTTGAGTGCCAATTCTGACTAAGTGATTAAAGTGATTTAATATTATGCCCTACACTAATGACGAACTAGAAAAATGCAAGGAAAAGGGGACAGAAGCAAAAACGTCCATCCACCAGCAGTATTTTTTTATATATATTTCCGAAAGAAGTCTCTTATGTTCACTAAGGCTGTATTTATTTGATCATAAATACTGTAAAAAGCATCAATACTGGGAAATACTAGTATAATATAAAATAACTATTATATTTTAATATACTTTAAGATGTAATTCATCCCTATGATGGCAAAGCTGAATTTTCAGCAGCCATAACTCGAGCAGTCTTCAGAGTCGCATGTTAAAATAACATTATTTCCTAAATTTAATTATTTCCTGTAATGTGTAAATGTACACCTGTTCCCTGAGCAAGTGCTTTTTAAACATGGCATAAATGAAATTTCATTTAAAACGGGTGTCTATACAGTTAAGTTCACTTCGCACGACACTATCAGGAATGTGCCCGTGAAGTAGTAGTGTAAATAAAAGTGAACACACACACGCACTACCTTAGGTGATTTGAGGTCTCCTCTCCTCCAGTTGGTGTCTATTCTGTGTTGTCTGATGTAGGCACTCTTCCAGGGACTATGCGTGAACCCTGGCTTGATAACCTTCCTTCTCTTTATGTGCAAGGGCTCATCAATACCTGCAAAACAGACGTTTTTTAATGTTAGTGACACTGATTCAATTCATGATTCTACTATTAAAACGGCATCAATCAGCCAACTATTAAATAAATGTGTGTTTTTTTGTACTCTCTCCACAGAGTTTGTGGATAGCAGTGAAATCACCTTCTTCTTTGCATTTTTCCCTCCAGAGCAGGTTGTCCTCTGCGAGAATGCGCCAGTAACGGCACGTCTGAGCCGCCTGAAGCAGATCCTTTGGCTCCAGAAATGACAATACGTGTAAGGCCAACTATAACACAAGACAGACAAAGAGTGAGACATCAGGAGAGGATGAGAAAGAGTAGGCTACAACAGGGATCAAGACCGTATTCGGATAGTGTCACAAAGGGGCTTAAAACCATTTTTATTTTATTTCTTAAAATGTTACAAGCTTTTCAGGAACCAATGAAATAGGAAAAACATAGGATTTGAGGATTTGAGATCATGAGTTCAAATATGGTCACATTCTGTCATTATTGGTCGGTGTATGAATGTGTGTGTGAAAGGGTGAATGTGAGGCAATATGTAAAGCGCTTTGATGGCCATTAGGCAGTGTTGTAGTACTCGAGACTCGGATTCGTCTCAGACTCGGTCTCGAGACAATATTTTAATGGTCTTGGTCTTGTCATGGACTCGTGTCCATTTGGACTCGGAATTGACTCGTACTCGAACATTTTTTTTTTAGGACTCGGAATTATTCCCGAGTCCACTCGAGTTCAATTAAAAATATTTTCCATGATTATTAATGTATGTTAATAAAATATTTCTTTAAATTGATTGACACGCCCAGTGATTGGTGATTTTCTAGTGCGCAACTGCGCATGACAAATTGTAATAAAATTACTTTTAACACCACCTACTATGTGGCCTTTTTACCCTAAACTGATCATATTTTTTAAACTCTAAGTATATTCAGTAAAAAAAAAAAAAAAAAGGATTTCTCTAAGTAAATAAAAGTAAATTAGGTAATCAACCCTCACTGGTCTCGGTCTCGGCTCGGACTCGACCGTCTCTGGTCTCGGACTCGACTCTCTATGGACTCGGTCTTGACTCGGACTCGACTCTCTATGGACTCGGTCTTGACTCGGACTCGACTCTCTATGGACTCGGTCTTGACTCGGACTCGACTCTCTATGGACTCGGTCTTGACTCGGACTCGACTCTCTATGGACTCGGTGTCGACTCGGACTCGAGTGAGGTGGTCTCGACTACAACACTGCCATTAGGTCTATGAAAGCGCTATACAAATGCAGTCCATTTACCATTTATTGATAATAGAGTTACTAATGTAATGATATATATGTATAATATATATGAAATGTAAAACTAATGTAATAATAACTAATAATGGAATACATTATGAATAAATAAACTAAACTATCCATACCCCCCATTTACTTTCACACAAATGTTGCTCCAATTTTCAATACTTTTTTTTGGAATTTGGATCTTTGGGAAGGAAAATTATTTTTTCTTAAGTGTCTAAGGTCTTCACTTGATCAGTTTTTTTCTTGATTACATTTTTTTTTCTTTCTGTTTTACCATTATTAAGTGTGCTGCCGTTTTGCGCAGAACTCAGACAGAGCATGTCCAAACAGTTCCACCATTCCTTATGCAATCAATCACAAAGGTTGCAGTCTGAGATTCCACAGTGTGTACAGTATTAGCCTAGAGGAGCTTTTTCCACAATCTGCTTCAATCAGGCAGACAGACACACCCTGCATATTACTGCACTGACACAAAAGAAAAACAACCTTGATGGGAAGGAGAGCCCGGGAAAGATGACAGTTGACTGAGAACAAGAAAGGCAAGCTGAAACAGCGACAGGAAGGAGAGAGGATGAAAGGAAGAGAGGACTGCCATTACAGAAAGAAGAAGAGCAGAGAAAGGGAAGGGGGGTAGTTTCCGAGCTAGTTTCCTCTCAATATTCTTTTACAGAGGCTGAGAGAATTGTGATCATTTTTTTTTTTTTTTGAAGAGGTGTAAGAGAGGACATGTCTGTCAAACTAATCCCCAGCACCTACTACTTTGCTTTAAAACCACCCATTCAAACATCAAAACCATAAAGTGGAAGGCCACGCTAAATTAAAATGAATAGACATCAGTGTTACAGGTTATATTTACCTCTCTGGGCAGCAGTGAGATGAAGTCTCTTTGAAACTGCGGTTCGATCACCTGCATCATGTGTTTGACTTGCGTGGGCTCACAGCTGTCAATCAACTCATCCAGCGCAAGCAGCTTCTCTGGGCCACTCCAGCTCTGTAACACACACACACACACACATCAGCACATGTGACCAAGAGCATATAAAGAATGTGTGCACGTTAACATTTAGAACTGGCAATGCTTTTTTCACAGGCTATACTGCAGAAAACCATTCCCTGAAATGGTAACTTCTGGTATGAACAGACAATGAAGGTTTTTGTGAGTCAAAATGGAACAGACTTCATGTCTTGGGGCTGTTGGAAACTTCAAACTTCTGTTGGTTTTCAGCCGTTTTCTCCATTTTAAGCTGTGGTCAACTTGATCCAGTGGAATAAAATGTTTCGCTGATCTCACAGTGTTGAGAACTTAATTTGCTCTCAGTGAGGACGTGCTGCACCAGAGAGATTGTGCCAAAGTCATTCCGCTCTGAGGCGCATCAAATGAGAGAGGAGGATTGCTCAGGGATGTTTATGATGGGAGAGGGATGTACAGAAGAGGACTATAATTTACTGCTGAAATGCTTCAGCTGGGGGAACTCAGCATTGTTGTTGCAGGCTGGTTTATGTCTATATGTGTTTATGCAAGCATAACTAACAGCTCAAACTAATGAGATGCAATTAAACAGTTGAGCAAAAATCTGATTCAAATGCTTATTTGTGTTTTGTTCTATAATTGAAGCCAACTAATTATCCCAAACTTTATCAAACAACACGCGTTGTTACTTGTTACGACAAAGGTGGACAATTCCAAGATAAAACATTTGAAATTCCAGCAAGGTTTCCCATGACTGTCAGAACGCCAGAGGTTGCGTCTTCAACTAAGATGCATCACCACAGGCTTCCACTGTAGAATGACACATTTACTGTGAATCACTTAGGCGATACTGAAACCGCTGACTCATAGGGATATGGAGCGTCATTTGCACCTCCAGATAAGCCTTACAATAACTCGAAACAAGTAACTCATTCAAGCACTGACTGAGCAAACAAGCAAAACCATTTCTGAACCAACTGTTTAACCGCATAGACAGACCGCAATTGAAAGGACGTTATACAAAACTATTGATTCTCTCATGAGATCATATCTAATGACTCGTCATGAAGAATTACGTGCACATTCTCAACTGCAAATTTATTAAAGGCTTTTTTGAGTGAACGGAAATCTAGCTTGACTCAAAATTAATTTGGTTGAAGCAAGAACACATCTTTGGGAAAACTTTGAGCATTAGACGAAAGCTTCTTCATCCTTTCAGTCAACACAGGTATCTGCCATTTCATGCTACGGCAGCTTCGTAAAGCCTGAGGACTGATGAAGCCTGTAATTATCAGTAAGGGAGAGAAAACACAGGCTGAGGTGGAGCCCCTGGTTTCTGTTGAGGCTCGAATTGTTGGTCTAGTAAGACGGATATCACAAAGATGTAAATAGTTGCAAACTTGTAACGGCCGCAAGCCCTTAAATTGCTAATTTAGATTATGTCAGATCTTAGTACCAGTACTTAGTAATTAATTAACATTAGCACATGTTGTCAAGGTACAGTGCAGAGGCTCCAGAGTCCCACAAATTTATTCATGGACACATTGTTTAAAATAATCTCTCATTTTAGTTAAATTGTGGCCACGTTGTACTAACTAATTTGCTTATTTTAATTAAGTTGACATGCGGGGGGAAAAAAACAAGATCTTGACATTCCCAAGACTTGACTCATTCCCTCGGAACGAATTAACAATCAATGGGAACAATGTTTAACGTGCATGTCATGTGCAGGGCTCCGTAATAACATGATGCTTAAACAAAAATCTCTAAATTTTGATGTATATCGCCATTATGCACCTAATATGTGCAAATCTGTGATTTAAATTCTTTATTAACGCTTGTTGAAATAGTTATGTTCATCAACAACCATAAACAGGCTACAGGTAGGCGAAATTATCGGCAAAAGAATTGTTAATGATAATAATAACCACCACAATGTGTTTGTTATTATTATTAATAGACATTTTATTCTAATAATAGTTAATGTGTATTAAACTATGGTGTCATGTTTACTAGAGAAGTGTGCTAGAGTGATTTGACCATGATTACGGTTTTACTCAGCAGTGATAGTATAGTGCACCTGGTTAACTCTCTCTTGCAGGTCTTGTGAGAAACACTCAAATTGTTTGGTTGAACTCACCTGAAAGGTGCGGAGCCACTCCTGCAGGCCTGTGGGGGGCTGTATGGATGTGATACGCCGTCTCTGCTGACCCTGCCCGTTGACCGCTCGCAAGCCCCCAAATGTGGTGGGGGTGGCTGGGTACGGCAGTCCTGTGGGACTATTCAGTGAAGAAAGATAAAAAGAGAAGAAAACTAATTAGACTTCAAGAGCGGGAAAAAGATGCAATTCAAAAATCACATTCGAAAAGGGCATTAGGTTGAGGAATTTATAACAATTCACTCTGACAGGAGACATCTGTATTTTAGTAATTTGTTACATAGTAAGTAAAGGTCCTTATCAATAGACAATACAGATAGAGTGCAATACTGTAGTTTATAAAAGATTTAAAAACAAAACAGTGGATGAAGCTACTACGAAAATCTGAGGCTTTATTTCAGAACAATAGTGTGAGAATTACAGCCAAAACCAAAGTGGCATGTGTGGACTGAATCGGTGACAGATGAGCACTACAGTCCACTTGAGCCGCTGTTGTGGTCCAACATTCGACAACGTGACCATTTACCTCAGCCTCAGAATTCAATCAGCCACCTGCCCAACAGCAAATTCATTCAAATGTTTATCTTTGTCTTTGTTTCATTCCTGGAAACCGTTTTCATGTTTCATTTCATTATTATAGTCCATTTAAAACGGTGCTCAAAAACTTAATTTATGCAAACTAGTAAGATCTGAAGCACTTTCCATTTTCCACTTGGTGAGAAAAGGACACAGAGTTGTCCCATGTCAGCACTCCTTACTGCAATTCTATGTCTCTGGGGCCCTACACTAACACCAAAAATACAATTCAGCACTCCTTCTTTGCTTTCTGCTTATCTACAAATACCTTCTCCGATGGAAAAAACCAACGGATGAGAAGGAGAGCGGGAAGAGTGCAGGCGAGCACGTAGTGAGGTCTGTTTTTATTATGGATTCATATTTAATGGGATTTGAGAGTGAGATGCCAAGATGCTTCAATTACCTGGCGCGCAACTGCTGACTGGTTGGCCATGTACTAATCAAGTATAAACCAGGAGAGCATCTGCGTCTTGACAATAAGTCATGAATACTCGTCAGAGCTGAATGCGGAGTATGAGTTTGCTGAATAAGAAACATCTCAGGTGGTGATTCCATGAATAAGGGGTTTGGAGTGACTGCGTGTCATTGCTGAACCATTAGCAAAACCCAAACAGATTTGCACAGGTGAATATTAGCTCTTGCAAGGCAGCAAAACTAAATGTGTAGGTTTTAGGTGAGCTTTGCTGTGTAAAAGCAGCTGGATACAAAAAAAGAATTTTAAATAGCTATGTTTCCATCCAATTGTGAATTTAATTCGGGTAAAAAAAGAAAAAAAAAGAAACTGCAACACAAACAATTTACAAATAAAGCTAGCCTTTCATCACATTTGTCCAAAAGAACAAAATGATCAATTCCAGTTAAATTTATGCAAAACTAAAAAAGGACACTGTGGCCCTTTTTTTTTTTATAAAAAACTTGCAGTTTAAAGTGTGCGGACATAACACAAACATCCTGTTCGGTAGCAATCGTGGGCAGATTCCTTGTCACACAGTAGGAAAAGTATTCATTGCATGAGCAAAGTCACATTACATTTTTAATGCACATCAACGAAATAATTCGATTTTTCCCCCACCTCATTATTTCCATCCAGCATTTTATATGTGAAATCCCAAAATTTGTATATACTGTATATGCGGATAAAAACCTTGCTAATAGTGGATTTTCAAACATTAAAACACAGATACACAAATATACTACCATTCAAAAGATTAGGGATGGTAAGATCTCTTAATGTTTTGAAAAGTCACTTATGCTGACCGAGGCTGCAATTATTTGATCCAAAACACAGTGAAAACAAATACTTCTAAATGTTATTTTAATTTGACAACATTACATTATGATCACATTTTACCATTAATTGAAATCAGCACATTTGTATGATTTATAAAAGATCATGTGTTGCCTTCACAGAAATAATAATAATAATAATAATAAAAAAACACACACATATATATATATATATATATATATATATATATATATATATATATATATACACACATACACACACACATTTTTTTTGTGAAGGCAAAGCTAAATTATCAGCAGCCATTATTCTAATCTGTCACATGATCATTCACAAATAGTAAAATTTCAATTAATAGTAAAATGTCATCAAATTGAATTGAATAATCCATACATTTTCATATTATGAATACAATTTTAAACGAGTAAAAAAAAAAAAAAAAAAAACTTAAAATGTTTTGTATAAATCTTAAATGGAAAAAGGGTTACATAAACCATTTAGTTTATGTAGTTCATATCCTTAAACACATTTTTTAAATGTTAAAGAATTAAACAAAATGTTTATTTCTTATTTTATTTACTCATTTAAAAATCTCAATTTATAATATGAATATTTAAGGAATTTTACAATGAATTGAAATAAGGCTACATTTTTGGAGTGTAGAAAGTTCAGCATTTGTTTGAAAATAGAAATATAAAGTAAATGTCTGTCACTTGTAATCCATTTATTGTGTCCTTGTTGATTATATATGCATGTGTGTGTGTATATATATATATATATATATATATATATATATATATATATATATATATATATATATATATATATATATATATATATATATACACACACACACACACACTATTTGGTAGTTTAATGCAACATGCTAAAACATTTAGCACATTTCAGGTAAGATGGTGAGTTTACCTTGGACAGGGCTTTTTTCCTGAAGGGAAAGGTCGAACCTCAGGGCCATGGTCCAACTTCCTCTTCATCTGCAACAAAAATAAGGGAGGGAGCAGTTAGTTTGGGTTTGTAGAAGGCAACAAAATACCAGCATAAACAACCAACAAAGCAACTTGACAGTATGAGAGGGAGCATTCCTCAACCTGTTTAAAACCACATGCTCCTGATCCACCTTTGTTCCTTCCTATGTAAGCGTTTACTGAGTCTGGGTTTTGTACTAGAGTGTGTTGGGTATTGTGCTAGTTCCCTCATCACCAAATGTAGGCCAGGGGAAGGAAGGTCATGTCCACTTTATAGTGACACGGCACAGAAAGATAAAGTCTGACAGCTGATGCTAACGTTTGTCATGTGAGTCTTCAAAGAGGTGTATGGTATAAACGTGCACAGCCCTCATAGGAGTTAGAAAGGGGGCACACACACAAAAAAGCACACATCTGTGTGGGCGTGACAGGCTGTGCTTTCACAACAGCCTACATTTATATGGGCTTAAAAGGAGAGAAAAAAGACTAACCCTATGCTTCACTGTCTCTTTCTATGTCACCCACCCCCCGCACAGGCTGAAATGGCCCTGGTTTTGCTGCATAGTTGGTGCCTGGCTACGGAACATCTACTCTGGAAAAACAAGGGTTCAGTGTCCTCAACACAATGAGGTCCTAAAGCACATTTGAATAAAACTATTTTAGGAGGGTACAGAGCTGCCAGTGAATCTGTGCAGTTCACTTTCAGGAGGAGCTCAGTGATAGACTCCAAAATTATGAATCATTGTGCTGCGCCAAACGCTTAAGAGTCATTAAGGATGTGAGCAGAAATTAAGAGTAATGGGTAAAGGTTTTCACTACTGAAACAAGCACATACAGTACATTTACAATGTACCATGTACCACGCCACTGGTAAATAACAGGTCTGAAATGACTAAAATCAACTTTCATTCAGAGTGTATGCATTCACAACAATTTACTAAATGGCTATGGAAAAAAAAAAGTCACATTTAAACTTTGCAATGACAAAACATTTACTATATTATTCAGCAAGGATGCATTCAATTGACCTTCTGATTCAAATAAATGGTTCTCCTATTCCTAATCTTGACAAAATGTGTTCCCAAAAATATTAAGAGCACTATTTTCAAAATCGATCATTGACAATAAATATATTATTTCACAACTATTTAATTTTGATCTAACAAATTCAGCTTCGGTGGGCATAAGAGACTATTATTACTACTCCTCTTTGTAACAATAATTGCAATCTACAGCAAATATCTAAACTAATATTACATTTCATTCTGTATTACATGCAGCATTCAAAACCATTGATTCTAGATGGATTTCTGAAGAGACCACATGCTGTGAGATTCATACACAAAAAATGAAGTGCTGCAGAAACGCCCTTGAAATACAATATCAAGACCAAAACCCAGGTCTTGCACAAGGACACATGACTTGAGGGGACATTTATATTTCTAAAAACTATTTTTTTTTAAATTTTCCGAACGCATATTTTGCTTTAATGGCGCAGCTGATTCCTCAGTCAGTGATCTCACCACAAAGGTAGTCAAACAGATAGGATGAGCCTATTTGCATGAATGATGAATATAAGATGGCATGACACTGAAGATGTATGATAGTGCATGCCTGTAACTGCTTAAGTGCCGGTGTGTTCTCGAAAGTGTTAAAACACTCTCAGGTTACTCTATGAAGATGTGTAAACACAAAACACACAGAGAATGCCACATTCGATAATCACTATACCTAAACCTGTCAGGCCTACTTGGTAAAAAGCACTAAACACTAACTAATGAACAAAGTGAAAGCATTCATTTGCTATAGTTATACATTCATTTCACTGAGCGGATTAGACTGTCGCTTTTCTCTAGGGTTCACAGTGAGAGCCATCTGATTTTAGATGAGTCACTGTGTAATCATTCTCTGTGTCTGACACCACAAACTCTTTATTTTGAGAACTACTTTGATTGGTCACGACTGCACGTATAGTTAAAATTCTCGCATTTTAGACTATAAAAGTATGCTTCACTTAAAAAAAACTGATGAAACAGAAACTGAGAATGTCAGAAACTGAGCATATTTGTGTGATCTATTTAAACATTCTGTCTATCTAAGCCCATCAAACATCCTTAATGAGTTTCTTTTTTATAACCAAACAATTACAGTAACAACATTGCCGGGAGCATCCGTCAACGTCACTGCAGTTTACTCGATGTGGTTCTGATCAGAGGACACTCTGAAAACTGCAGCGACTGCAAGCTTCCGATAAGCTCTCGGATTTAAAACATTAGTTTCACTCAAATTCAAAATCATAAATTGCGGGGTTGTGCACCAGATGTGGCTCGGTTTCCTCAGTCAAAAGCAATGACACAGTGACCCAATCACTGTAGGGTGGTCTGATGCCGCCAGCCAGTGGAGGATACACACCCTTCAACAGGCAGCGCAGAAGCTGACACGACCCCTTTACAAAATCATTCACACATCACAACATCATATACGCGACTGTATGGCTACAATAACAGTAAAGGAGTCCAAATAGGGTTTCTGCAAAGCAAAAATTATATTACCAACAGGTTTACTCTGAATGGTGCAGGATTATACACCAAAAAGCGGTTAACTCTTATATAAGATCCAATAAATCTGACTTACAAATAATGCTAAGAATGATGCAGTGCTTCTTAAGATCTAATATAGGGAATGGATAGGCTAGATATAATGATGGGAGCGCAGGTGCAGTATGTATTAGGATGGGCAGATGGTGTAGAAATAGTGATGGAGCCTATGTTCCCCAAACCCAGCCCATAATCAAGAGCATCACAACCAGTTCTACATATGAGCTCTCTGTAAAGGAGACTTAAAGTAGGTTCAAGTGAATGAATATCGCGGAAGGTGATTCTCTATGTCAGCTGGAGATTTTTCCGCAGTGGCCGTAAGAACAGTCGCATATTTCACCGACGCACCCTTAAAGACGCGCACCGCACGGATCTAGCAGTGTACGCGGTCAGAGCGCGACGCGACAAACCCGAACGCGGACATTATAACTTAAATCAACGAAGCTGTGAACATTGTACACGCGCGCGTAATATTTGAATATTACAAAGAGCTGAACGAATCCTACATCACTCGCTTGCAGTGTAAACCTCTTCTTTGATTTATAATGCGAGCGTTCCTGTCGCGTCGCGTCAGCGTTGATGGGGTACCTAACGTTATTAAAGCGAGCCTACCGAGAGAAGGCGGATGGCTGTATCGATATAAAAGCCGCAGTGCATCCAACACTAGGCGTTTACTCACTTTATAGAAGATCATCTTTAAAGTGCCGTAGAAACCCATGGTGATGGTGGTGACGATAATCCGACTGTGATTCACTGAGAGACGATGAAGAATTTATGGAAATATGTCTGCGCGATAAGGGCTCTATTAATCCCGGATAGATCCGACAGGGACATACTCATCCACGGACGGATGCATAGAAAGCCGAAAGGAAGAATCCAACGACCCGCCCGTCTGTCTCTTTGACCGTCCTCTGAGCGGACTGACTGAGCGAGCAGAAGGAGAGAGACGGGAGGGGAGGGGAGGAGAGAGAGAGAGAGAGAGAGAGAGAGAGAGAGAGAGAGAGAGAGAGAGAGAGAGAGAGAGAGAGAGAGAGAGAGAGAGAGAGAGAGAGAGAGAGAGAGAGAGAGAGAGAGAGAGAGAGACCCTGCCCTCTTCAAAGAACCTGTCATCCAGCACAAAAACCTGGACTTTATCTCACTCTTTATTACATAGACCTAGAAGGTATATATAAGTCTATATAACACAGGGTTACCATATTTTATTTAATTACACATTTTTCATATTTTCTTAATAGTCAACAATATTATTGATCTGACTGTACAGACAATGCTGTATGAGAACTGAGATGGACGATTCTTATTTTTTTTTTCTTATTTTTTTTTTTTGCAGAACTGCTTTATGTGAAATAACTATTTAATAATTGATCTTTACAATGGAACTGAATCCTGTTGAAACTGTTGAAATGCATCATGCTCTTATCACTGTAGAGCTGCTTTGAAGCTATCTGTCTTGTATAAAACCCTATATAAATAAAGGTGACACGACCAATTACATCAAATCTTATGACCAAAAAACCCAAGATAAACAAGGACACACCAGGATAAAAACACTGGGATGGAAAGGGGAAAAATATAAGCCAGTAAGTAAAAATGAAGAGAGTTTGGAATCAACTTGAAGTGTGTTATTCTGCTGTATAATGGTTCAACAGTCCCATAATTATAATGCTGCTCCTGAAATGAACATGCATTGAAATATCGATTTTATTTTATTATGTGGGAACAGTTGTCATTCTCAATTCTCAGCTTTGCATCAGCGTCCTGATCAACTTTGTGTTTATTTTCTGAAAATGGTTGGCTGCAATACATTATCCTGCTTATTACACAGCTGACGGCTGATGGCAAATGGACATTGATTTGAGCAGAAATCAATTTATTAACTTGCTTGTAGAGACAGCAGAGAGAAAGGACACAGCTATGCAAGATATCTCCCAAACGAACGGTCAGTTATACAGAATTGCCCTGGACAACTGTCATTATTCATAATTGAGAAACTAGATTAAAGTGTTCAAGAGAGCCCTGTAATAAATAAACATTATGTAATTATCAAAAGAAAAATGGACAGAAATGAATTGCTGGCTAATACACTGGCTAAACACAGGGATCAGATGACAGATTTGCTGCAGATGAGGATGTGAATGGTGCTGCACATGCAGCCAGACGGCGAAAGTGGAAGAGCCTGAGATTATATTCAACCGAAACCAGGTGGTGCACCTGAACCCGCCCCTCAGCCGCTGAAGACGACTGCCGGCCCCTCCTCTTGTTATTTCCGTCAGACTGAGCAGGTGGTATTTGGTACTCAGGGTGGTTTTGTGTGGACTGCACGATTAAAGATCGCCTAACCGTATACTGACAACACAAGGGTTGTTAAACTACATAAAATACGTTTCAAATAATATCTACACTAAACTAGAA